ATGTTGGTAGAAAATTAATCCACATGAAAATAAGCCTCCTTCACCTCTACTTGTGCCTTGGAGAGGCAACTGGAAAGAAGTTCCTCAAACACACCTAGCAGGCTCTCCCCAGGAAGCAGGCAGCGGCCCTCTCCCAGTTCTTGAGCAGCCTCTTCAAGTCACTCCCACCCTGACCCTGTTACCCGGTATTATATAAAAAAGAAAAGAGAAGCAGCATCTGAGAGGGACCCTGTGGTTTTAGGCCATGGACCCATCTCTATATCTAGACCCTTACAGTTCCCTTGTCTATTATTAACCCACCTTTTTGCCAAGTCAAACCTCAAGTTATCTCCCTTCTCTGGGGCCCAAGAAAAGGTGTGGATGGTTTCATTCAAACCAAAGAGGGAGCTGGCAACATGGTTCAGTGACAGAGTGCCTGCCTACCATGCATGAAGCCTTGGATTCCATCCCCAGCAATGCAAAATAAAGGTATATATATTAAAAAAAGGTAAGGGGCCGGGGATTTAGCTCAGTGGTTTCACCACCTGCCTTGCAAGTGGAAGGGCCCAAGTTCGATCTCCAGTACTTGGGGGGAAAAAAAAGAGAGACCAAGAAAAGGCTACTCAGTCAAACTACTGTCACTAATAAAAGCAGAATTTTAAAAAAGGTAAAAGTAAAAACCCAAGAGGAAGATGGTGATGACAGTTACAACAATGTCAATGCACTAACTGCCACTCAATTATGCACTTAAAAATGATTAAGATGATATATCTTTGTGTATTTCACACAATTTTAAAGTACTTACAGTTCAAAAACAAACAAAACTAAGCAGATTCCTCAAAAGGTTAAATATAAAGGTATAACTCAGGTTGGGATCATATGACTCAGCAACTCCACTCTAGGGATGTACTCAGAATGAATGAAAGCACGTATCTACACAAATGTTCACGGCAGCATGATTCCTAGTAGCCAAAAAGGGAAAACAACCTAAATCTCCATCAACTGAACAGAAAAACAAAAGGTGGTATACTCCTATCATGGAATACTATTTATCCACAAAAGCAATGAAGTCCATACCAGTACATGTTACGACACGAACAGGCCTTAAAAATACTACGCTAAGGGGCCTGGGATTTGGCTCAGCGGTTCGGTGGCCTGCCTTGCAAGTGCAAGGACCCGAGTTCGATCCCCGGTAAAAAA